TTTTTTCATCTGTCCTTTCCAACTAGGACATAATCTCCATGCTACAAAGGCTTTGTTTTGTCTATTTTCTATTGTGTCCCCAGCATGTAGAGAGTAGATGCTCAGTAAATATTTGCTGAATGAATGAATGAATCTGTGAACAAATGAGTAAATGCCCCCTTCCCACCTTGTTTTTCAAGCTCTTCAGTCAGACTACTTGGAATTTTACTGGGTACCTCACAAATTGGAACTTTGTGCAAACATTCAAACTTCTCTGGGCCATAGCTACTTATCTGTAAAATGGGTTTACTAACAGCTCCCATTCTTAATTTCAAGGATTGTTTTGATGATCAGTTAAAATAATGTATGTGAAATGCCTACAAAGTTATAAATTGTTATATACATATAAGACATTCTGATCTTCTCCTCACAATATTATGGCACTCCATAGTCTTGCCTACCTTTAGAATCTACTTTAGAACTAAGAAAAGGGACCTCAGAGGAGCCAATATTAAAATACAAATGGCAAAGTCTCTGCATAAAACGTGCAGCTTTGTCATAATAACCCTCAAGCCCTCCTCACAACCATCTCCCTTTTAAACCAGCTTCATATCCGATTCCCACCACCCATCTGTCAGTTTGTTGCACTGTGGTGGCTTGTGTGTTGCTGTGATGCTGGAAGCTATGCCACTGGTACTTTATACACCAGTGGGGTCACCATGGTGGCCAGGTGACAGTGGGGCTCTCAAACTAAAAGAGATTAGGAAGAAAGGCCTAGTGATCTACTTCCAAAAAATTAGGTGAAGGAAACCCTGTGGATCACACAGGATATTGTCTGATGCAGTTCTGGAAGATGAGCCCCGTGGGCTGGAAGGTACTAGACAATTGTTGTGATAATGGACTTAAACATGCCAACCATCATATAGGTGGCACAGGAATATGCAGTGTTTCATCCTGTTGTACACAAAGTTGCCATGAGTCTAACTGTAAACTAACAACAACAACAAGATATCAAATTCCAAAGTATGGTTTCCCAGGAACGGGAAATAGGGGAATTGGATGAAACACATGTACTAATAAGAGAGAACAATCACTTTCCCTGATGCCCTAAGTCTAAGGGGGAAGGCTGCCAAACTATAACACCAGACACACAGACTCACCAACTGCTGTAGTCTAAGCCTACGGAGTGCAGGGACAAGCTTCCTTCATACCTTGGGAGGCCCTTAGGGAAGCTGCTCACTGTACAGCCACTGGGGAAATAGACCATCATAATGGTGATCCTAAGCCACTGTTTAATCATGAAAAGATTAAATTAGGGAAGTACTCTATTTAATAAAGAGCCTTGGTGGCACAGTAGTTAAGTGCTTGGCTGTTAACCAAAAGTTGGTGGTTCGAACCCACAGTAGGTCATGGGAGAAAGATGTGGCAGTCTCATTCTGTAAAGACTACAGCCTTGGAAACCCTATGGGGCAGTTCTACTCTGTCCCACAGGGTCACTATGAGTAGGAATTAACTTGATGGCAATGAGTGTACTCTATTTAATGAGGCACTGGTGGTTCAGCCTTCCATCTGGGGGACCAGGGTTTGATTCCCAGTCAGTGTATTTCATGCATGGCCACCACCCAACCGTAAGCAAGTTTTCACGTTGCTATATGCTGAACAAGTTTCAGTGGAGCTTCTAGGCTAAGATGGACTGGGAAGAAAGGCTTGGTGAAGAAAATCAGCCTGTGAAAACCCTATGGATCATAATAGTCTCCATAATCAATCACGGATCATGGTGCAGGACAAGACATATTTCATTCTGTTGTACATGGGGTCATTATGAATTGGAGGCTGACTCAATGGCAGCTAACAAAAACAGCCCTACTTAAAGAGACAAGGAGAATGTGCAATGTTGTGTAAGTAGATTGCCAACCAAAATGGTCCAAATAAAGACTGTTCACAAACAAGATAATCTGTATTTAGCTAGAAAGTACTTGACTGAACAATTGATATTATGAGATAAATTACGCATCATACCACACTGCTACCTACACACAGTAGGACACTTTTAGGTGATAGTATTTAATATCTCACAATTACATTGTTTGCTTATTTTAAATGTGGCAGCTTGATAAGACTAGGACACAGAATTTAGGAAATATATTACACACACAACAAATATATATCTGTATGCTTAACTCCCTCTACATGTGAAAGAGAGAATTTGTGAATAAACCACTCTGTGGTTTAGGGAAACAGGATATTTACTCTAAATTTATCCCTACCAGTACATTTCTGGACTTGAGAAAAACAAACTCAAATTTTCAGTATCCTAAGCAAGTGTTAAGTAGTTCTGGTGGTATAGTGGTTAAGGCATTTCGCTGGTAAACAGAAGATTGTCAGTTTGAAGCCACCAGCTGCTCTGCGGAAGAAAGACTGGACAATCTGCTTCCATAAACATTTATAGCCTTGGAAACTCAATGGGGGTCCCAATGAGTTGGAATTGACTGATGGCAGTGAGTTTGGTTATTTTATGGAAGAAAGTGCTAATTAGGAATGCAAATCTGTTACATATACCAAAGGGTCAACTAGTGCATCTAAAACAAAGAGATATGCATCAGAGACTATGCAATGGTTTGAATAATTGATAACAGGGCTTCTCTCCATTAGTGTGGCTGATTAAGAGATACATCTCTAAGGTAACTAACTACTAGTCCCTGCAAGGAACTAAATCAATAAACCATACACCCAAAACCTCAGAGGGAAACCAAATGAACTCAGAGTCTTCAGAGCTAGAACAACTCAAGAAATGATTTTATCTGGTACTTCTTAATCCTGGCTATAAATCAAAAGGATGTGGGGAGCTTTAAGAAATATTGATACCTGGGCCCCACTCTCAGCGGTTCTGTTTTAATTTGTCTGGCAAATGATGTGGGCATTAATATTTGTAATAGCTTCCCAGGAGTTTCCAATATGCAGCAAAGGTCAGGAATCACTGGTTTAGCCCATTGCTTCCTAAACTTACATTACGTATCTGAATCACACAGAGAGCTTTTAAGGAAAAGATTCCCAGGTTCC